TACTTTATCCAATCTTCTATCAAATCATAATCTTTGTTTTGCCATAGAATCTTGGAGTCATCATCGAGATTTGATTTTGTGCCTCAAGGTCTGATTTCGACCCTAGTTCATAACCGGCCTTCTTTGGGTATCAACATCTAGTTTTTTTAAGTAATTTTTATTAGAATTTACTCTTTACTTTCTCCTAAAGATGTCTATATCATTTATTTTTTTAATCTACCTTATTTTGCCTTATTTTTGGCCCTACAAAGTAAGTAGAAGTTATTTTTTCTAAAAGGGCAGCATTACTACTAAAAGTTTTACTACCTTCCTATCTTTTATTTATATTTTTCTACCTTTTCTTTTAACTTGGCTCTTCTATAATAAGATCCATATTATCATCTTTCACCATCTAGTCACATTACAACATGACATCGGATATGATATTAGTGAACGCACATGGGAGCCACTAAAATTTTTTACAAATGGAGCAAAGGTGATGGAGGCTTTTCATCCATGACATCCATCAAAATCAAGATGAAAATCTTTCTTATAAAAGAAACAAGATCTAGACAAGATAACGTTCTACTTTCAATCCTTGTTTGTAGCTTCTTTGTAGTTGTGATGCTCAGGAGATAGTTAACCAACAACCAGCGGATTCGACTCAAGAGCCTTCATTTGTTGACCTGCCATACGAGACATTACGATTGTCACAACCTTTAAGATGATGTAATTGAGATGAAGATCTTCAAGAACGACATATTTTTCCTTGAATAGATGGCGAGATACAACGTGTTTGGTATCATGACCTTGAAAGAGACTCTCGATGTTTGGTGATTTTACTAGAGGTAGGAACAACTCCTGATGGTGTTCCAAATGTTTTATTTGAAGGAAGTTATGAAGGCCTCAACAATGATTAAATAACTAGGTGATCTTTTCACCCTGATATGGGATACTATCGATGTTTGAGAGGCGCTATCAATCATCTTTGAAGTGAAGAAAGATCACAGTATGTAGTGAATACAATTCATCGCATTATAGATTTTCTCAACTTATGATTACCACTCTTCGTGGAACTCGTCCCTAGAAGGGGGGATAATGTCATGGACACACACATGTAAGCCAATAATTACATGTATAAATAGGTAGAAATAAGTAAAAATAGGTAAAAGTGAATTAATTCTATAGTATTTGCTATGGAAGCTTCTTAGGAGCTTTATAGACACTGCTTTGACTTTATAGGTGTCTTTAATTGACTTTTTGGATTAGAAACGTGGTCAATAAGTTGACCATGTACCACACATGTTGTTAGCTTGAAGACCAAGCTAACTATGTGGCCCACACGTAGAAAAACTTGCCTTGTAAGTCAAAGCATGTATCCTACAAAGTCAACACATATTGGAGGTCCTATAGAATGTCGCGACATAGCTCTTAGTTAGATAATATATATAGAGACAAGAGTGAAGCCTTTTTCACTCTTGTCAACTCCTTTCTTGCTTCCAATCTAAATTTAAGGGTCTCTAGTTTTCTTAGCTTTTTGGCAATAGCCATTCTAGTTTCTTTCTTAATATATATATCAAGTTATTTCTATTTTGTCATCTTTCTTTGAGAGAAATCTCACTTATTTATTTGTCTTTATCGTATCCTTGTTCTTGACAAATGAGGCCATTTTTCAAAAACTCATCTAATTACTTTTATATTTCTTTAAGTTTATTCAATATTAATTAATAAATTGGCCAACTAGCCAATTTGATCCCCGACACTAGTTCCATAAAGAAGGAGGCACCTCAATCAGGTAGTACGCCATTGATTAAGGTAATTAGGAAGACATTCTAATATTTACATATGAATTTTTATCCCTTCTGCTCATTTGGTTGTCTTTCCCACCATTGAAGCAAGATTTGGAACCTCTACATATTTTGATTGCTTATGTTGTATTTGCTTCTTCATAAAAGTCATTTATATGAATAAATTCTTAGTCGCAGATCATTTTGCTATCCTTTTTAACATAAGAGTACAAAAAGTGACTATGTATCTTCCATCTTTGAAAAAAATTATCCTTGCTAGCCAATTGACATATTTATTTTCTACCTCTAGCCATAGTATATTAAAGATAATATCATATCTAAGCTTTCTTACTCTAAAATTCTCCTTCATGGCATAGGTGTCACTTAGCTTTGGGATTTCTTCTTCATTTGTCTCGCTCAATACGTTCTTTCAATCATCTACTAAATGTATACTCTTTTTTTAATGACCCAAATTGGTTGAAAATTGTTGTCGAGATATAATTTTTTATAGAGCCATAATCCACAAGCACTCAACATGGTTGTCTTCTTAGTTGATCTATTAGACACACCAATTGATCCTTTTAATAGTTGTATGAGGCGATGTTGTTTGTCTTTGAGAAACAACAATTATCTACAGTACTAGCCCTTAGTACCTTTATTGAGAGCCCTATTTTTCTACTCTACTTCTTTATTAACTTGGTAGCGCTTGAGATTTTAAATCCTCTATGATTTTTTGGTGCTTGAATTTTGACTTTTTGGACAATCTTTGATGTGATGGTCTAGCTCTCGACTATAAAAACATATTTTTTTTTGCCAATAATTTTTGTCTTTGTCATATCAATGGTCTTTGTAGAACATCAATTTCCATCGACATTAGTTATTGTGCCATAGTATTGACTAGTAATATAGGACTTTGCTCTATAGGTTGTACTCCACAATTTCATAAATCTATAGCATTGATCCTTTCTACAATCCTTATTGCCTCCTCAAATATTTGTAGATCCCAAAATACCACTTCTTGCTGAAGAGTCATTGGCATACATCTTCTTACCTTAAGGTCCTTGAATATATATCAGACTTGCTCAATTTCAGCCTAGCAGATGTCAACTTTTTTAACTTAGGTGCTTCTATTTCTCCTTGCAGAGTAGTGATCTGGCTTAGGAGGTGTTGTATTTGAGTCTCTATTTGACATTGTTCTACTATATCTCCTATGCTACAATTTCCTTATTGAACTTTGCTATTGTAATGCCTTCTTTCTTTATATTTGACTTCTTAAAGTAGCTTATTGTAGCTTCAAAATAGTATCCAATGTGATCACAATAATTGACTTCTAACTAAATGGTGGCCTTTGATAAGACCAAAAATTCTAAGTTCTAAAATCTCATGAAATCCATAACAACAAAGATCTCAACAAAACATAATACTAAGCAGATTAGAACAAAATTGAAAGTAACTAAATAAAATGGAAGATGAAAGACAAGACTAAGTAAAAAAGAATAGAACGAAACAAAACCAAACAAAATTAAATAGAATGGAACAAGAAAACCAAACTTTATTGAGAGAAAGAGTTTGAAGCCATCTCTAACTGAATGCCTCAAATTATCTCAGTTAGTGCTATTTATATTTTATTCAACTATCTCAAAACTTTTTAAAATATCCATAATAGTAGGTCCTACCAAAATAGCCACCCTTCTAGAAGATTTTAAAAGTAGGTTCTACCATGATAACCAGTCTAAGCCTTTCTAGAAGATTCTATGGTGGATCTCATATGAACCAATATTCTAACCTCAATTCTAGAGGCTTCTCAAAAACAACTCTAATTATATATCTTTATATGCAAATAATACAATCATTCTATCCATGCCTTCTTACAATTATTTAGATTGAAATAGATGATTCAAATAGATTTTTTTGTGAAATTTAGGCATAACTTTCTTCTATATCCACACTTAGTTGCCATATTTGAGGTGCTTAGGACTTGAGTTGTGAACTTTGAACTACTTGCATAAGTTTCTCATAATGTTATAATATCTCTTATAAAGTTTTTTTTTTTAATATAGTCTTCCATCGTTGTGGTATATTGTTGTAACCAATTGTGTATGTCTCTAGGCTCTTTGAGGTTATTAGTCATCTCTCTTGTATTTTGCTTGTTAAACTTACGTTGGGTAGGAGAAGATCTTTTTGTGTATCTTCTTACTTTAATTCCTTTGCTTATTTATACACAAAAAGATCTTCTCCTACCCAACGTAATTCTTCTTGATTAAATAAAATAATTTAAAATTCTTCTTGATTAAATAAAATAATTTAAAAATAACTTATTTATTATGATACTTCTATTAACTTTTAAAAACATACAATATTCAAATAATTTATTTAAATTATTTTATCTTATTAATTAGATATAAAAAGAATCATAAAACTAAGAAGCTTTTAAGTTTATTAGGTGTGAATTAGAATATGAAGATTAAAGGGAAATTTTTAAAAAAAATTGTTCAGAGAATTCTTTTAGCAAAATACATTTAAGGCTATTTATGATTAAAAAACAAGTATACATAATCTTCACTGAGCATAATAATCATCTTTGATTAAATTAATTAATTGAATTTTATATACATTAGAATACATGAATAAAATTTGCCTCTCCATTTTAGGATTAACCTCAAAATTCCATTAATTTAAGTTTTAGATAAATGAATTCAAAATAATATAATAATAATTGATCATGAAAATTAATCCAGTAATAAAATTAAAAGTACTATTATAAATATAAGTATTAGATTTATTTAATATAAATATACATATAAATCCCCAATCTCAGAAGTGCAACCTGAACCACACAATCATGCATCAAAATCATGTCATGTAACCAAACGTACAAAAAAACATTTAGTATATTTGAGATCTAGTTTAATGGAATTTCCACATAGATATATATATATATATAAAGAAAAAAAAGAAATTGAATATCTAACACTAAAAAACTGAAAAATTAGCATTAAATAAATAAAAATAAAAGATCCACGCATTTTTCATGATACTAAGAGTATATGAAAAGAAACAAAATGAGGCAACTAGGTAGGGTCAGGGCTTGCAACGAACAGAGTACATCCATCCAGAATAGACGAATGAATTCAGTGACTTTATTCATTCATTCACTAATTCATCCACGAGTCATCAGTTCATCCATCCATCCATCGCGAAGGAGGTCTCTACTTTTGCCCTGAGCAACATCGCTGGAGCGTTACCCCATTGCTCTTTCTTTCTCTTTCTCTCTCGATGCACACGCGACGACACACTTTGCTTTACGATTCCGCTTCCCCGCATTTGATTGCTTGCCCCACGTAGTCGTCATTTTGTTACTCTTCTGCTCATAATCATTTCTCATCTTCCGCTCCAAGACTAGGAATCGGCGACAGTTTCGTGGTTTGATTGGTCTATTTCGACTAGGGTTTCATCAATCGAGAAGGAAAGAGATTCCGGATCTCGCTTCAGCAATGACGGTATTATGATGGTGTTGTGGTGTGCGGATTGTTGGGTCTCCCTTGTGATCTTCTCTCTTTCCTCTTGTTTCGCCTCCCTTTCGCGGGGTGAAGATCTTGCTGTGAATAAGTGTCCCCCCAAAACAGTAATTAGTGTTCCATTCGTTGTCTGACCTAGATATGCCGGGTAAAACCTGATCTGATCCTGCTGCATCGTTGGTGTTTGCAGACGAACACCGTACGGGTGACCAATGTCTCAGTGAAAGCTACTGCACACGATATTCATGACTTTTTCTCATTTTCTGGAGAGATTGAGAATATTGAGCTTCACAGGTGCGCACTGAGCGACGGCCCACATTCGCGTGAGATTTTTCGTTTGCAATTTACAGAATGGAAGCATTGATACCTTGACACAGTTGTTAGTGACGTGCAACGTAAAATTTAGGCTTAGGCCTGGTCGATGAATGCCTATTTTCTCTTGTTCAGGGATGGTGACACCCAGATTGCCCTTGTGACGTTCAAGGAGGCTCAAGCTCTAGACACTGCTCTTCTTCTTTCGGTGCGAGGATTTTTCCCACCTGTATATCGGTTCTTATTGATTTGTTTAGCATCTCTCTTCTCTCGCTTCATGTTACTGCATGCATCTCTCAGGGTTCTTGATGCTCAGTATTTTCTGTATTAAGTGGTTATTGTAATAGCAAATTCGTCCAGAATTACATTCACGAGGACTCCTTGCTATGAGTGAACAACACTAAATCTTATGGTGGTTTTGCAGGGAGCCACTGTTGTCGACAGAGCAGTCAATATTACACCGCTGGAAGATGAATTATCTCCAAGCATCAACTCCATTCCAAGAGATAAAGCATTTGGAAATGATGGGGTACTGGTTTACGATCTCCGTCCATGATAACCTCTTCCGAAATGAATGTTTTAGTCAAGGTTTATCGTTTTGCTCATTGTTCTTTCCTGATCTTGTTTAGGGCTTTGCTGGACCAAGCTCACATACTCCAAACCAAGCGGTTGATGTTATTTCTACCATGCTGGCGAAAGGCTTTATTCTTGGGAAAGATGCCGTCTCTAAAGCTAAGGAGTTTGATGCGAAGCACGATCTTTCAGCGAGTGCCAAGTCTTCGGTGGTAAACTTTGACAAGAATATTGGGATTAGTGAGAAGTTGAGCACAGGGACTGCTGTTGTAAATAAACAGATGAAGGCTGTTGATGAGAAGTATCAAGTTTCACAGAAGACCCGGGCTGCCCTGGCTGTTGCTGAAGAGAACGTTAAAACTGCAGGGTCTGCTCTCATGAAGAACCGATACATATTAACAGGTGTCTATTGATTCCATGATGTGTTTTTCAGATCTCAATTTATTGTTATTTGACTGCTTCTTTTGGTGCTCATTTGATGAAGTAGCGATGTGCTTCACATCGTTGTCGTTGTGCTTACAATTCATGCTTATTGTTTGTCATGTATATCCTCGTCGCGTCAATCACTTGTTCGAGTTTACTGTTCCAAACAGTTTTAGAATGTGAGGGAATCCAAGTATAACTTGCGAGCCACCTTCCTCCAGGTGCAAGTTGGGTTACAGGAGCGTTTTCAAGAGTCCAGAAGGTTGCTGCAGAGGTAAGTCAGAAGACCATCGAGAAGGCCCACACTATGGAAACTGATCATAACAGCGGCCGCGTGGAAGAAGTTCGTGGAGCGCCATCTCTTTATCCGGGTTCAGATCGAGCTACTCTTGCCCCACTCTCAGCCACAGATTACTCTGGTTCCCAATATCCCAATCTTAGCTACGACAATTATGCTCCTCTGCATTCAACAGAACGTTCAACAAAGGTCCCCCCTGCTCAAGGCCTTACTCTGTGAACTCTCTTTTAATTGATGGTGTTTTTGGAAGTAGTGGATTACGCGACTAGGAGAATAAGGTTTCAATCATGGTGGTTGAAAAGCTTTGAGAGCTTATGTTCATTCTTTGTTAGACGTGACATAGATCAGGTGTTCTTGTACTATACTGTGCATAGTATATTTTTGAGGGAAAAAGAATGGTTACATGGAAATCGTTTTTTTTACCTATATGGTCCTAAATTGGCTTCTTTTGACAGCCATTCTGAACAGGTTTGAAAATCCGGGATGGATGCGTGTCATGAAAGTTGGAGAGACGACCCTATTTGTCAAAGTTAGCCATCTGTGTAAATTATAGAAGTCAGCAAATGAGATTGATTTTTTTGGTTTGTTTGTTTGTATCACATTCTTTTCTTTCACCATTTTGATTTGTTTTTCTTTCCTTTTTCCTTTTTTAGTTTCCTGCTTTTTATTTTATTTATTTCTTTATTTCTTTTTTTTGTTTGACTGATGCCTGACTTTTTAGTACTCTATTATTCTCATTGTCCTGTTACAAATCATCTTTAAGATTTGAAGTGTGAGCTCCTGAAGCATGATGATAACGTTGGATATTGAATTATGTATTTAGATCTTATTACCATCTCTATGATTGTCGCAATACTTGCCTTTGACAAGTGTGTTGAGAAACATTATTGAACCGAAACATGTTTTTATCAACGATGAATGATAGAGTTTCATTAATTTCTGTGATGCAAATAAATTTTGTTAGTTTGGAAGGTAAGTGTGAGGGTTTGTGGCTGGAAATAGTGTGCAAATGTTGGATTATATTGAATATCAGTCAGTCATATGACAGATATTTAACTTACGGAATAATCAGCATTTAATTGGGCACAAATGTAAAAGTAGTATTGAAATTGAACTACGGTCATTTATGAAACGCATAGAAGAGATCAAATATTTAGCACAACACTATTGTCAAAGGTTAGTACAATCTATGACAAGTTCCAATTTACTAGACTGCAATAATCGACGAACAAAGTATATTAATTAACTCAAAACATGTAGTAGATATAATCTAAGAATTAATTAAAACACAATCTTCTCACAAATTGGTGCTTTTATGTAGAAATTTAAGATAATAAAAAAATTGATTAAAATTTTTATTCTGAATGAAGTTTTTTAAATATAGACATTGAAAATGATTATTAATAAAAATATCATGTAAATAATAACATAATATCATATTTTACATGAATTTGATTTTTGCTACAGATTGGTCATGTTATAAAAGAAATCAAGTTCTTATTATTTATAATGATATATTTGGACACAAAAACTCAATATATTATAGAAAATAATTTGGATGCTTTTTCATTAATATTATATTCTACAAATTATATGCATACATTATTTATTAATTTATTCCATCTTTAAACTTTTTTTTTCAAACCATGTGAATAAAAAAATAAAAAATATTGATCAATACACTTTATATATCTTATTAATTTGACCTTGAAGAAATTATATATAGAAATATATATATATATATATATATATATATTTTAAAAGTCAATATATCACTAAATTTATACAAAATTTGATCTTCACAAACAATTGTAGATGTTTACATATCACATTAATAGTATATTAGATTTGTTAAGAAGATGTATATAATTTTTTACTAGTTGCAAAATATTATTTTGATTTTAATAATTTTTTAAAAGATTCTATATACAAAAATACACTTAATTCCATTATAGGTGCAAAATAAGAATGTTTAGAAAGTGCATCTAACAAATCTTGTTATTTTCTAAGTCAATATGTGATCTTAAAATCAAATCTTGATAAAGACATGATCCAACGAGTTTGGCAATGATTTAAAACACATACCAATATGATGTATTTGAGGTTCTTATGATCTGTATTTATAGTGACTGGAATAGAAGCACCTTCAAGAAAATGATGCCATTCTTGAAAAGAATCCATAATTGTAAGATTTTTTTTTTTTTTTTTTTTTTTTTTTTTATTATGGATTTTATAAATTATCTTTGCTACTAAAAATTTCTTAGAATAGAAAGTAATTGGATGGAGTTTATTATCTGCTTCCATTTGGAGCAATGTTGCACCAAAGGCAAAGTTTAATGCATTAATTTCCATAAATAATGCTTTAAAGAAGTCGATGCAATATAAGGTTGGTATAGAAATAGATTCTTTCTTCAAAGCAGCAAATAATGCTTTGGCTTCTTTATTTCACTAAAGTTTGTTTTTGTAAGTCAAATTATTTGAATGGCATATGAAGTTCTTATTAAGTCCTCAATACTCTATATTCATTTGCAAAGATCTATCATTTTTCTTCACAAATAAGATAGGAATTCCTACTAGAAACTTTGAATGGCATATGAAGTTCTTAGCCGAATTATTGTCAATGTACACTTTTAGTGCAATCAATTCTTTTTGCAATAAGCTGTAGATCGGTCCGAATGGTGGTTGAGCTCGTTCTTCTAAATCAATTGAATAATCATAAAGTCAATACTTTGAAAGAATATCTACATTCTTTTTTTCAAAAACATCTTAGAAATCTTGATATTGATTTGTATTAGAAATACCATTTCACATCTTTAAAGATTGTATGACCTTTAATTGCTATATGTAAAGAAAAAAATCATATAAATAACATCTTTAAAAGACAACAAATGACCATCTTTGACTTCTACATATACTGATTTAGTTTTCTTGACTAAGGATATTTCTTATTTTTTGACAAAGTCTTTGATTATAAAAGAAGCTTAGGCTCTTGAATCTAATAAAGCAAAGACTTTATGATTTTTAGATCCTAAACACACATCTATTGTGAAACAAAGTGAAGGATTTGAGTAGAAAATAGGACCTTTACTAGGTGTTGCTTATGATTCCAATCGCATGGTCACCATAATAATTGGATTTTTTTTTTTTTTTTTTTTTTTTTTTTTATTATGGATTTTATAAATTATCTTTGCTACTAAAAATTTCTTAGAATAGAAAGTACTATGGACAATGTTGAACAATGTATTTAGCTTCTTCATAATATAAGTACAAACCTTGTTGACAAAGTCAAGTCTTTTCTTGCTTAGTGATCAGTTTAAAATGTATTATATGAATTTGCATTGATTTTAACCTTGATGACTAAGTTTTTAAAAGCTTAGGAGCCACCATTATTACTTGACTTGTTCTTCTTCAGCAAATAATGGAAAAACTTATGCCATTAAAGATATAAATTTATTAAATAATAATAAAATAAGCTTCAAATTAGAAAATATTGAATAAATTTAATTAATGTACTAATCTTCAACATAATTTAATGTCTATAAAATTATTGGAAAATATAATTGAATAGAATTTTTTAAATTCAACCAATGTGTAAAATTTTAATATTTAGAAATATAATATATAAGTAGAATTATTACAATAAAAAATTCTTTCAGATTAAAAAAATATTTAAGCAAATATAATATAATTTAGAAAAATTTAAAAAATTATTATTTATAAAATAATAATAATAATAATAATAATACAATACTAAAATTAAGTAATTAAAAGTAATTTTGTGTAGGATTGGTATAGACATAAGATAAAAATAAAAATAATTTTGTAAATTTTAAGATCTAATAAAAACTAATAAAGATTTAATATTAAAAATTGAAAATTGAACCTTCTATTGATTACTTCAAAACAATTTAAGATCTTAAATTATATACATATATTTAAATATAAGAATACTATGTAAGCTTACAATAATAATAAAAAAACAATAAAATAAGTTAATAATTTATTTAAATAAATTAAACATAAGACAAAAAATTAATAATAAAATATTTTTTTTAATATATTACTTATTTATATGATAAACTTATTTATATACGAATTAAAATTTAACCACTAAAAATTTCAAATAATGCACATCTTTAAAAATATCCTATTTAATTATATTTAATAAAGTATATATTTTTAATAAAAGATATTTTTCTTAATTCAAAAAAAAAAAATTTAAAAAATTATTGCAAGAAACAAGTATAAGATATACAATAATTAATCAACTTGACAATATAACATTACAATGTATACAAGAAAAAAACCTCAATAAGAAAATATAAATTTATAATCTTTCAAACTATGAAAAAGAGACAAAACACTACTTACATGACAACTATCTCTTAATAATATTTAAAAATAAAATAAAAAAAAAAATAGAACATAAGATTGACGAATATATTTTATTAGCAAATGATCATGACAGTTGTAACTCTCTAATGGAGTATTATAATTTTTTCTTTGACAAAAGAAAAAACCTTATTTATGTACATGAGTTTTTAGTTGTAATTGTAGACCTTAAGTGCTTGATGTCTGTATAACAAATGTAGGATCATTGAAGCAATTGGCAAGTTAATTATAGATTTTATTGCACCAATATATGAAGATGTTAACATAACAATGATATTATAGTCTTTTAGAAGCTAAAAAAGTGTTACTTTGATACCTTCCTTCAATTTCTATATTATATATCCATTATTATGTCTTGTTGTCGATTGTCACTTGTGTATAATTTTCAAGGACACAAAATTTAAAAAAAGAAATCCTCAATATACTCTTGTGTCACTCAAAAGAACTAAAAAGTCACTCAAAGATGGTATAGTATTAAACTAGAATGGCTATTGCCAAAAAAAAGAAAACTAAAAAGTCTTGAAATAAGACTAAGGACTAGAAAGGTATTCATAAGAGTGAAGAAAGCTCCATATATACTCTTAAGTAGGAGCTATTAAGGACATGAACTAAAAGATACATAAACCAATGAAATTCGTGTCAAAGAAAAAGTGAAAAAATAGATATAAGGAAGTATGTATATTAAAAAGAAACTAGAATGGCTTATTACCAAAAGACAAGGAAACTTGAGACTCTTGAAAGTAGACTAGAAGCAAGAAAAGAATTGAGAAGAATGAAGAAGGCTTCACTCTTGTCTTTGTATATATCTAAGTAGGGATTACATGGCAATGTTCTATAGGACCTCCAATATGTGTTGACTTTGTAGGATACATGCCTTGACTTACAAGGCAAGTTTTTTTTACGTATGTGCCATATAATTAGTTTGGTCTTCAAACTAACAACATGTATAATACATGGCCAAATTGTTGACCACTTTTTTAATCCAAAAAGTCAATTATAGACACTTATAAAGGCAAAACAACATTTATGAAGCTTCTAGGAAGCTTTCATAGAAGATATTACAAAATTAATTTTTATCTACTTCTACTTATTTATATAGGTAATTATTAGCTTACATGTATATGTCCGTGATATTATCTCCTCTTCTAGGGATAAGTTCCATGAGCAAGTCATCATATATTGAGAAAATCTA